CCTCCCGGATGCACAGGCACACGGTGACGCGCGGTGACATGCCCACGTGCGGCTGCACAAACATCAGCACGCATGCGGGGGTGCGCAGGTCCAGACTGCCGGCGGGGCACCCGGCTGGACAGGCCGCCTGCAAGCTCGCAGCTTCCTGCACCCCAGCCAGGCACCCCAGCCGCACTGCGGTTGACACCCCACCCAAGGTTCTCCCAGGAGCCTTAGGATTTTAAGGAGCCACTTAGAGACCCAACTGCTGAGTCTCTGCCACCTCCACCTGCTCCCCTAGACTAGCCCCCTGTCCCGGCCCAGGGCCTCATAATTACTCAAGGTTCCGCCTCAGTTTCTTCATATCCCACGTCCCCTGCGTGACTCACCCACTTGTGCCTCAGTCGATGCTCAGCCTCTGTCCCTTTGAGCCCAGCCCTGCCCCAGCTGTCTGCATGGGGTGCCCCAAAGCCCACGATACCCCCCCCCAACACACACACGGGTCCAGGCACAGAGCTGTTGCCTCAGCCGTGTCTCGGGGATCTGCCTCTCCTCTCTCCCGCTCTTCCCTGGCCAAAGCGGCCGTCCCCTTGCCTTGTGGGCCCACCGGCCTCCCGCTGTGTCCAGTCTGCCAGACCTCATTGGATGTAGGTCCTGCCTCCGTCCTCACTGTTGCTCCCCCACTTCCAAACTCAGCTACTCTTGTGGTTCCGGAGAGTCCCAAGATTTTGCCTGCCCTTGAGGTTTTGCACAGGCCTGGACCTTCCAGACACCCCACCCCCAGTCCTGGCCATGCCAGATAACTTCAGATCTCAACAATATGCCGCTTCTTCCAGGAAGCCTTCCCGGAAGGCTTCACCCTCCAGATGGGGTTGGGAGGGCCGGTCACCAGGCCTCCCTGTCCCTCGCTGGGCTTGCCGGGGACTGTCCGCCCCCTTGTGGCAGAGACCATGGGCCCCCTTCTCAGCCGGGCGGCTGGCTCTGGTTGCTGAGCAGGACGATGAGTGAGTGTCGGCCAGTGGGATTGAGCGAGGTGGGTGGATGGGTTTGTTTCAAGGGTGGCGGGGGCTCCGGACCGGGAAGGGCCGAGGATGGCGAGGTGAGGGTCACGGGATGGACAGGCGCGGGTGGGCAAGACCGGGCCCCTCCTGCCGCCCGGCTCCGCGCAGCCCCTCCCCCCAAGGAGAGGCACCACAGGCGTGTACAGGTTGGTTTATTTACAAATATACTGATGTCTCATCTTTTTTTTTTGTTTGTTTCCATTTTCTGCTTTTGTGGGAAGAGGCGGAAGGTGAGTGGAGGGCGGGTGGTCATGTGGTAAACGCTAATAAATAATTTAACAATGACAAGTTATTAAATAAAACGTGTCTGGGGATGGTGGGTGGGCAGTGAGTCTGTACAAGGACAGAGGAGCGGCCAGCGGCCGGGCCCCACGCGCGCCTGGGATGCCCGACGGCGCAGGGGCGCCAGCCAGAGGCTCGGGAAGGCAGCCTCTCCGGTCCTTCCTGCGCCCCTCCTGGGCCGCGTGCACCTGGGGTGTGGGTCTGAGCGCCTCCGTGTGCGTCCCGGTGAGTGTGAGTGTGTACACGTGCGTGTGAGTGTGGACCCACACTCCACAGGCAGAGTAAGCCCGGAATTGAGGTTCCTCCCCGATGGGAGCCCCACCCCATAGGCTCCCCGGGCCCAGGGCAGGGGCCAGGTAGGGCGGGCCAACTCCCCCCGAGGCCCTGCATGCCCAGGGAAGCGAGAGGGGCTCCAAGTGCGGGGGGCCGAGGGAGGCAGCTCACAGCTAGGGCGCGGCTGCCTGGACACTGTGGGCCCCCACCTGCACCCCTTCCAGGAAGCCCTCCAAGGTGCCTGACCGCTTGCACTGAGCCTTCTTTTGTGGGCTCTGCTGATCCTGTGGTCTGACATTTGGAACCTCACTGGCCGGATGTGCAGCCTCCCTGGAGCAGGCAGACAGGCCCTGACAGGGATAGGAGCTCCCCCCGGTTTTCTTGTCCCTCCTCTGCCCTTACCTGCTGTGTTACCTGAGGCAGACTCCTTCCCTCTCTGAGCCTGGGCTTCCTCAGCAGCCCAGCAGGGGAAAGGAACTCAGCTTCCCTCCAAGGCTCCCCCTGCTCACCTGCGCTTCCTGCCCCTTCCCCCCTCTTCCCACGGGCTCCCCAGCCTGCCACCTGCCAGGTGGGGGTCGGTCTGGCTACTCGCTGCCCCCAGACCCCCGGGCCCCCAAGCCAAGCCTGCAGGTCCTCCCAGAAGCTTGCCTGCTTCTCTCGGCAAGCTCTGCCCTGGTGCCCCTGCCAGGTGACACCGAACACTTCTTCCTCAGAGCCTCAGGCTCCTCCTCTGAGAATCGAGCCCCCCACAATGACTGGACAGGCTGGGCCAGAGTTTTTTACCACTCCTTCTGGGAGGGAGCCTCTCATCTTCTCCATCTGTTTGCTTGCGCCAAGTCCAGGACTAGGTGGAGGACATCAGTGTCTGGGGGCGCCTGGGAGCAGTGAGGTGCAGTGGCGTGACCTAAATGTGGCTGATGGGGTTTCTATAGGATGAAGTCCCTTGTGGCTCTGACCCTCTGTGGGTTGTGAGTGGGGGTGTCTGTGTACCAGCTCCTGGCAGAGGGCAGCACAGTGGAAGGGCTGCGCTCTGGTCAGATTTGGGGGGGTTATGAGACCCCAAAGTGGCTGAAGTGACCCCAGGGGCCATTTAGTATACCCCCAGCTTACTAAGCCCTGTCGTGTTCTCCTGACCCAGAAGGGCTGGCTTGGCCTCCGTCTCAGCTCAGCTGTCACTGCCCTCCCGAGACAGCGCTGGTGCCCTCCCTCTCCCAGCCCACGTTCTCCAGTTGCAAAATCAGCGGGTGGACTAGATGACCCATCCCAGCGCAGGCTTCCTGGGGGCTGGGGCACCCACCCCTGGGCCCACCCAAGGGCCCCCAGCATGATTTGGACCTTGTGAGTCCAAAAGGAGGAAGAGGCCTGGCACAAGAAAGCAGCATGGGACAGAGGCTGCCCAAGGGACAGAGGTGGTACAGGACAAGAGATGGGAGAGGGTCTGTGTGGACTGAGGCTGCAGAAGGACGGAGGACATCGACAGGGTCCTCGTGGCAGTTCTGGTAGGAATGAGAAGAGCACAGGAAGGCAAGTTGGCTGCTGGGGTTGAGGGCTGGCATTGAGCCCACCTCTGCAGGGACCGAGGTCTCCCCAGTGGACAGAGAAGCAAACCATGGTGCAGGTTGGCGAACTTGGAGGGGCCCAGAGGGGTCCAGGCGGAGGGGCCGCAGATGGAGAGCAGCGCCTGTAGTCCTTATTTGCTCAGAGGCTGGACCAGGGGACCTCAAGATGGCGGCCTAGGGCTCAGCATCAGAATTAAAGGCAGGGCTGTGAGCACCTGGATGAGAACACAATGGCCAAAAGGGGCCAATGGGGAGCACTCGTGAAGAGCGAGAAGAGCCCCATTAGCCTGACCTCACTCCCGGCTTTGACAAGGTTGAGGGGGCAGGTTGGGAGAGGGGCTTGATAATAATGTTTTTGGCTACTAGCAGGCCTGTCGATAGAACGGGGCTGGAGAGCAGCTGGGAGGCATCAGCCAGCGAGGACTGGGTCATGGGTGGGCCCACGCGCCGTGGGTGAGATGCACAGGGCCGAATCCTCACATCCACAGATGTGCTCAGGAGGGAGAGCAAACCAGTGGTCACAGAGAAACTCCACAGGCTGGATGGCATCAAATAACAGGAAATAAGGCAAGGAAAAAAGTCAAGGTCTCTCACTGGGTCGAAACAATAAATACCTCCTTTCCCCAACGGACAGAGAGACGGGGCTTAGCCGTCGTGTGTGTACAGGGTCAGGGCATTCGGAGACAGAAGGACAGGGTAAGTTTTCAGGTTACGTGGCCTAAAGCATTCATTGGGTCTCAGGCCACATTAAGAGAGGCAGGGTGCCTAAAGCAGGGAGGTGATGGGGATATTCACTTTTGGACTGGCTGATGTCAGCGGGAAGCCTGGGTTACATCTGCTCCCTAACTTTAGAGGGAAACCTGGAGCCCAGCTTAGGGGACACACGGTTAAAGAGGAAGAGCTGGAGAAACTGGAAAAGACTAGCTTTGAGAACTGAAGACTCAGGGCTGAGAGGCAGAAGTGACATCAGCAGGAAAGGCCAGCTGACTCGGGGCCTGGCGACGTGGGCTCCTTGTCAGAGGTATGAAAGGGCACATCAGATGGGGCGCCATAGGGGTGACTTTTGAGGTCCCTTTCTCCCTGCAAGTTCTGCTGCTTGGCCTGATTTGACCTGGTCTCGGGCTTCATCTCTGCCCGTGGAGCTGGGTGGGTCTGGGGCTGCCCTGCCTGCCCAGGCAGCTCCCAACGGGGTTGAGGCTAGGGTGCGTCTGGGTCCATGTGCTTCAAGCTCACCCCATCCTCTGTTCCCCCTCTTCCTTCCTCTCCTATTGCTCTAAGAAGAGGGCGTCCTGCCCCTGTCTGGCCTCCTTCCCCTCCCTGACATGCAGGGTTGACCACAGAAGCCTCTCGGCATCTCTCCGGAGCTATGTATGTAGCTGCATGGGGGTGCCTTTGTGGGTGCCTCTGTCTCTCCCCACCCCACCCCACAGGGACTCTCCTGAGGGCAAGCGAGGTGGGCCTGGCACCCGGCAGGCTCCTCCCCACCTCTGCTCCAGGTTCAGGCAGGGCGCGGGCACACGCCTCTCGGGGGTAACGGCACCTCTCGCGTCATCGTCCTGGGTGGGCGCAGAGACCCTGCCTCGGCCTAGGCCCAGGCCTTGGAGGTTGGCTGGGCACAGAGAGAACGTTTAAAAAAATAGAGAGAATTTAAGCTTCCCAAAAAAGAGACGGGGAGGGAGGAGGAGGCGGTGGAGGCCGAGGTGGGGCTGGGAGTGGCTGTCCGAGAGCCCTGGGGCCCTGGGGTGTCGCGGTCTCTGTGAGCAGGACACAGCCCCTGCCCAGGCTGCGTCCGTCTGCCGGTACGGTGGTGCCCACGGGCACTGCAGCCAGGCCCGGCTGGCCGAGGGGAGGGCACCGTATGGCTGTCTGTAGTCTGTGGCGGGGCCGGGGTGGCGAGGCCGCAGTCCCACCCTGGACCCCTGCCCAAGCGTCCGTGCGGCCGGCTGGTTCTCAGGAGGCGAAGTAGGAACTCTGCATGGAGTAGAGCCGGTCGATGGGGTTCCCCACGCGGGCCTGCAGGGAGCCCACGTCTGAGGAGCCGAGGAAGCAGTCGCTGAGGCTGGTTAAGGAGGTATCGCTGTCGATGTCGTGGAAGATGGAGTCGTTCCCTGGGGGCAGAGGGGCCGTCAGGAGTGGTGTGGGCTGGGGCTCCTGGGGCTCCGCCAGCCCTGCAGGCTGGTGGCCAGAGGCGAGCGGGGGCAGGAGGACCGCCTGGCCAGAGGGGCTGGGAGCCGAGGGCCTGGGCTCCAGGGCCCCTTCCCGTCAGGAAGAGGCAGGTGGGCGGTGTGGGCCGGGCCTGCCTGGACCCTGGGGCGCAGGTGGCTGTCAGGTCTGCCAGGCCAGGCAGGGGCAGGGGTGGTGCCGGGGCAGGCAGGGGGTGGGGCAGCTTACCATAGGGGTTCATGTGGTCACCTGGCATTTGGGGTGGCGTGAGGCCCTGCTGGAAGGGGTCGCTGCTGCCATAGGGGCTCTGCTCCATGGCCACGATCTGCTGCTGCGGCGGGGCCAGCGGTGTGTAGGAGGCCATCATGCCCTCCATGCGGCTTGACAGGACCTCTGGGGACACGGCACCTGTCACCGAGGTCTGCTCGCCCTGTCCCAGCAGCCTCCCAGGCACCCCACTGACCTCCCACGTGATCCTCCAGGCCCCCACTGCGGGTGTCCACTGCCTTTCAGGGCCCACAGGACCACTGGGCCCAGGCAGCCTCCTGGCCCTGGGCCCGTCCCCAGCACGCACTCCAGCTCCTCTTCCAGGACCAGCTCAGGGACAGAGCCCACCTCCCCCTCCCCTCCTCCCTGGCCTGCTGGCAGGGCTCAGGACCCTGGGGAGAAGACTCCTAAGTAGGGGTGTCTGCACCCCTGAGTGCAGTGAGCACCCCAGACCTGGGAGCATCAAAGGAGGGTCCCAACCCAGGTCAAAGAGGCCCAGGAAAGGCCCAGAGGGGGCCCCCACCCTGTGGAACTTAAAGGCCCAGTAAAGGTTCAGCTGGGCCAGCTGGGCCAGGCCACCAGGCTGAAAGGCAGGCAAGGCAGGTGGAGGGACTGCCCGGTGGGGCAGGGTGCCCAGCCCATGGGGCTGGAGCTGGGGGGCCGCCTGAGGCTGCAGGAAGCCAGGAGGCTCTTATCTGGATAGGGACCGTGGGGGAAGGCCAGGAGGGCAGAGATGGAGGTGGGGTGTGGGGGGCGTGACGGGATGCTGGGGGCCCTGCTAAGGTGGCTGTGGGGAGGCTTCGGAGATGGGCGGGGACGAGGAGCCGCTGCCCGACAAGGCAATCGAGCAGCTGCAGCCTGGAGGACAGGCAGGTCCCAGGGGACTCTGGGTTGCCTGTGTGGGCACCGGGCCAGCAGGAGTGCCAGCTGCTGGGGCCAGGTGGGGCGGGAGCTGGGGAGTTGTGTGCGTGTGGCCACAAGGGCAGAGCCCGGAGCGCGAGGTCTGTGACTGTCCTCGGGAGCCGCCCCGGGCGGCAGCTGGGACCCCAGGCCCACAGAACCTGAGCCGCTGGGAGACCCCAGGCAGTGGCTGTGGACCGGAGGCCGTGTTGTTGGGGAGCGGGGGCGAGAGAGGAAGAACTGGGTTCTGAGGCCGCGGCCTTGGCTGCCAGTGCCAGAGTGGGGCGCCTGGTCCCTGTCCCCACACAGCCAGCAGCAGGCTGGACCCCACTCCCTGCCCACTCCCCGGACTTCCCTGGCGCTCTCTGCCGAGCTCCACCAGGCAGCGGGGTGTGTGGGGTACAAGCTTGGGAACCCCAAGCTCAGGCTAACGAATCCCTGCATCCTACTGCGCCTCCGTCTCCCCATCTATGAAATGGGAAATGACAAAGCCCCTGCGCGGGGAGCCCTGAGAATCCAGACAGGGCGCTGTCCAGGGGTGCCTGGCGCCCCGGGGCTGAGCAGACAGTGGTGGCTCTGACGGCGGGATTCTGCACCCCCTGCGCTCGGGGCCCCACGCCTCCTGCGGATCCCGCGGGTGGTGGGTTCGGGGGACCTGCAGGACGGCAGCTCCCCACGGAGCGCTGAGAGCCTTGAGCGTCTTGGGAGTCTGGAGCCGCGCGCCGGAGCCGGGCACCCCGCCCTCGAGCCAGCCCCGCCCCGCTCACCTTGGCCCAGCCGCTGCGAGTTCTGCTGCTCCTGCTGCTGCTGGTGCCGCCTCGCCAGCTTCTTCATCTGTGGGAGACACGCTTGGTACCAGCCCCACCCCCTGCCCACCCCCCTCCTGCCCCCCCGCCTCACCCACTCAGGGCCCTGCTTCTGCCCGCCCCGGCGCCCCATTCCTGCCCGTGGTTGGGGGGGCTCACCTTTGCTCTTTGGTTCTGAAACCAGACCTGGACCACACGCACGCTGAGGCCCGTCTCCGCCGCCAGTGTCTCCCGGACCTGCCCCAAGAGAGGGAGAGGGTCAGGCCCCGGGGGCGGCAGCAGGGGGAGGTGGGTTGGGGGGACTGCAGGATGTATGGGGAGGTGCAGGGATGGTGTCCACCATGTCGCCGGGTGTGGGGCACCCGCCCCGCGCCCTACCCCAGCTGCCCCTCACCTTCCGGCAGGGCTTGGAGGAGACCTCGAAGGAGGCCTTGAAGGCTCTTCGCTGCTGCGTGGTGAGGATGGTCCGGGGTCGCTTGGGCCTCCTGGGGTCCTTCCCGTCGTCCCCGCTGCCCTTGCTCTGGCTGCCCTGCCCCTTGGCGGGCTTCATGTCCCCGTCCTCGTCCTCGCTCTTTACTGTGGGGACACAACCGGCCGTCAGAGGGTCCCGGCCTTGTTCCCTTAGTCAATCTGCTGCCTGAGAGGCCCCCAGCCCTTCCTGCCAACACCTGCCATGGCTCCCCAGTGCCCCCGGCCCCCAGGCCCTGCCTTGTCTGCGCCCTCGTCTCCCACTGCTGCCTCGGCACCGTCCTCCCTTGCTCAGACTGGGCCCTCATCGGGGTCGAGGCCGCGGGCCTGCTCTGCTGACCGTGCAGGCGGGGGCCCAGCCACGCGGGCACAGACGCTCGGACGCGCACACGTGCAGGAGGGCAGAGCCAGAGGCCCGCGGCCAGGGACAGACGCTGCAGCCCACAGGCACACGCCGTGGCAGTGCGCGTGGATACACAGGGTGTGCACAGGTGCACGGACACACACACACGGGAGAGCTGCTTGTTCACTGGGTGACAGGACCCTGCACCGAGATGCAGCATCTCTGAGCTTCCCTTGGCCCACCTGTCTGGGCCCTCCCTGTCCTGCTGGTGGCCAGCACCCCACAGACAGCAGTCCGCGGGCCAGCCCTCCGGAAACTACTCCACTACCGTGGCCCAGTCCTGGGGCCCGAGAGGAGATCCCAAGGATCCTTCTCTGCAGCTTCCAGGGACTGGCGCTCGACAGGCAGAGACATAGACTCCAGATGTTTGCACACAGTCGTATGCATCACTGTGGAATGCACACGTGCACAAACACCCACCGGTACACACACTTGAGTTGGCGCGTGGACTCACAAAGGCCACACACAAACGCACTCATGCAAACACACCTCCACACAGGCACACGGGAGGCAGAGGGGCAGGCACAACCACATGCATGCAGAAGCACACGCTCCAGGACACACTCACACTTACCGTGGACACATGGCCATGGCCATGCCCCAGAGCTGTGGGTCTGGGAGACACTGGCCCCAGATGGACAGCAGAGCCTGCCCCCGCCCCCACATGATCCTGCTGCCCTCTCCTCTTGACTGGTCTCCTTTCTCCAAGCCCATCTTCCCGCGAGCATGAGCCCCTGAGAAGGGGCCAGTCTCCTCCCTCCGAGTGCCCGTCCCCCGGCCTGGTGTAAGAGGGCCAGGGGCTCACACCAGCCTCTGCTTCACAGACTCCACAGGCCGGGCCCCGCTCAGGGATGGACAGAGGGGCAGATGGACGGGGAGCTCACCACCTCCACCCAGGGCCCTGGCACGGACAAAGCCCTCCCACAGGGGACCCCGGTTACCCCAAAGGGCCGGGACACCAGGGCATCTCCTCTCCTCTCCCTGTTCCAGCCCTACCCGCCACCCCCAGGGACAGCAGCCCACCGTCCTGGCCTTGCCCTTCTTCCAGGAAGGCACCAAGCTTTTGGGGGCCAGAGCAAAGCTCCAAATTTTTGGCACTGTCCTTTTGGGGCCTCACGCCAGCCAGAAACAGCATCAGGAAGGATGCTGCCCCTGCTGAGGCTGGGGCTGCGGGCCCGATGGCCAGAGGCCATGTCAGCTCCCTGCCTCTCAAACCCCAGCACCCGCAAGTGCAGCCGGAGGAGACCCCATGGTGTGTGGTGCAGCCACAGCAAGGAAGAGAGAGGGCAGGGTATGTGTGCGCGTGTATGCACACAAAACACATGTGTGCAAACCACAGTACATGTGAGTCAACACATGCAGGCGCTCAGGGCATGTGTGCTGGGTTGTGTATGCACGTGTATGTGCATTTGAGTGTGTGCGCCCCCCGTGGGGACATCGGCAGCACGGGCATGAAAGCACGAGTGTCCGTGTGCATGCAACCCTGGGCCTGGGGTCCACAGGTGCATTGTATGTGTGTGTGTGTTTGTGACCGCGTCACGTATTTGTGTACACGTGTGCATGCACCCGGTGATGGGATCTGCAGGTGCAGGTGTGCGTGCACGCACATCATGTCTCTGTGCTCGTGAGCACGTGGGGGAGCCACACGGAGGCAGGCAGGTCGCTGTCTGTGACTCAGGCCCCGGGGTCAGGAGCGGGCCAGGCCCCCCCCCGCCCATTGTCCCAGCTCCCGCCAGGGCTCACCGGAGTCAGACTCGTCGGGGCTCACGGAGCTGAGCAGGTCCTTCTCCTTCTCGTAGTCGCCCTTGCACAGCAGCTGGCCCTCCTTGAGCACAAACTCGTCGCCCTTGCGGAGCTGCCGCTCACACACGCAGCAGCAGAAGCAGCCCAGGTGGTACACGCACTCCAGCGCCCGCATCACGAACTCGGTGGGGGCGATCTTCTCCATGCAGCCGCTGCACTTGGCTGCGAAGAGCCTGCGGGTGCACAGAGCAGCAGTGGGCTGGGTCGGGGGTCGCTCCCAGAGGCCCACGCCCACTGAGTGCCTCTCTCCCCAACCCCCGCTCTGACAGTCCAGCCCAAGTGGGCGAGTTCCTCCCCGGGCACAGAGCCAGGCTGTGGGAAGGCCCGCAGCCCTTTTCTGGCAGCTGCAAGGTGGGCACTGGGCATCCTGCCCGGAGGTGCCCACTCCTGGGTGTCAGCTCCGAGCCCTTCCCGCTCAGGGACACAGTGGCCACTAGAGGGCAGAGCGCAGGGGCCGCCTCAACCCTCCCTGAGAGCAGGGTTGCCCTTGGCCACCAGAAGGGCAGGCAGCTGCCAGGTAAGGTCCCGCCCACCCTCACCCCTACCTACATCCAAACAATCCCCAATTCTGCCCAACCCACCACCCAGACTCGGCCCCTCCTTCTGCCCGAGTGGCTACTCATGTTCCCTCTCCTGAGCTCCTAGTCCCTCCAACTCACCCTCCGGGAAGAGAACCAGCAGGATCTTTCTAAAATACGTGTCTGGTCATGCTGCTTCCTTCCTCCACACCCTTCCGTGGCTCCCTAGTGCCCTCAGGAGAACACCCGAGTTTCTGAGTCTGGCGCTCGAGGAGCCTTAGGATCCTGCCTCCTCTCTCACCCGCTCTGGTCCCCGAGGCTGCGTTCCCCAGAACAACCTGTAGTTTCCCCAGCGCCCCCATCACACCGGGCGCCTGGCAGCTTCGTTTCCTGCCCCTTGGCTTGGCCGGCTCACACCTACTGTCCCTTTCCGCAGCCAGCATCTCCGCCACGACAGGTTACCCAGCCCCGTGCACGCAGCGCTGCCTGAGGACTTCGTGTGCAGAAACACAGCGAATCCTGGCCACAGCCTGACGCAGAAATGAATATTCTCCCCATTTTAGAGAGACGGGAACTGAGGCCCGAGGGCGGAGACCCGGAGGAGGGTCACACTGCTGTAAAGATGGCGCCGCCTCTGGGCGTGGAGGGACCTGCTGGGGCCCTCCCTGGCGAAGTGGGTCATCGTTCATCTCTGGGGATGATGCCGGGTGGGGGTCTCCCGCCTCGGGCCAGGGGGTGCAAGAGGGTCTGGGTGTGCACCCCCACCCCCTCCCGCCCCTACTGACCGCTCCTCCTGGCCCTCCAACCCCATCACGTGCCCAGCTCTGTGGGAACTCAGCTTCAACAACACTTTGATGGAAAAATTTATGAAGAATCAAATTATTGCTGCTGGGAGGGAATTAAAACCATTTTTCATTCCCCGCGTCCCCGGGCCACGTCTGCGGGCGCCACCTTGGGAGCGCCGCGCACATCCCATCCCTCTTTATGGCCCGCCATCACAGGCGCAGATTACAGCTGCAATTCTCTACTAATCGGTTCTGGAACAGAAACGGCCATAAATGCAAGGCACTCGGTCTGCCTCCCTTCCCGGGGCTGCCATCAGCACCGCCCACGGTGAGCCGGTGGGGCGAGGTGGACAGGGCCAATCCTGGCTCTGCTTGCTGCCTGGGCACCGGCCAGGGCCCTGAGACCAGGGACATCCCCAGCAATGCCTGTGACCCACCTTTGTGCTACCCAGCAGGCTCCTACTCATCCTGCAATGCCCCACTTCACCGCCACCTCCTCTGGGAAGACGTCCTCGATGCCCCCGTCTGAGGGAGGTGGCCTCCTTTGCATTCAACTGGCCTCAGTTCCCTCTGCTATAAAATGGGAATGCCAACAGGACTTGCTTCAAGGCAGCTGTCAGGATTCAGCCATACCCAGCATGTCCCTCAGTGAGCGAGGATCACATTGGAGAGACAGCCATGACCCGTCAGCTCCCAACTGCTCAGGGCTTCACAAGGCAGGACGTGGCTCCATCTGATCCCCAAGGAGGCCTCAGTGAGTGTTCAAGAAGCGGGTGAGTGAAGGCTTGGGGCGAGCTGACGACCCTAGGTGGACATGAGCTTGAGTCTGGCTCCGATTAGACCCTCCGGCTGGACAGCCTTGTTCAGGGCACCTGCACAACTGTCCAGAGCCACCTTAGACACAGACCCTAGGAGTCCAGCTGGCTGTCCAGCTCCACCAGGGCTGGGGAAGGAGCCCAGGTGTGCAGAACATGCTACTCGAGACACAGAGGATGCCCTGCTCCGCACCCCTCTGCCCCGCCCCATGTCCACATCCTCACCCGGGGACCTAATAAGGTCGACAGTCTGGACGGACAGATGCTGACCACGTCTCTGTGCCAAGATGGCGGGACCAGGCTCCCTGGCCAGGGCAGCACCCCGTGGGCGGCTCCCAGAGAGGGCCCGCTAGGCTGGGGGAGGGGCGTGGGGCGGGTGACCTGCATTTGCAGACACAGCCACTGGTGCAGGCTGCTGCGGAACAGCCGTGCTAATGCCTTGGCAGCAGGGGGTCGATTGCTACTTTCTCCAAACTCATCAACACAATCTATTATTAATACTTCTCCAAAGGCTCGGTGCCGCCATTACAGAGGCAGCGCCAGCCACTCGGGGCCTCATCTGTTATCTAGATTGCAAAAACTCGGGAAATAAAACAAGCAGAGCGCACTTTATAAACGGAATGTGCCATCCGTTTGGTCTCCAAGCATCTCTCCACCCAATAAAACATCAGGGGGGGATGCATGAAATACTCGCTCCCAATTATGGGGCTGCCTTTGTCTACGTGCTGGGGTGAGAGCTACTAACGGCATGCGTGGGAGGGGTCCCCTCCTCTCGGTGGGCCCCCCGCTCTCTCCCTCCATCCCTCCCAACATGGAGGGGCTGGAGCAGCTACGGAGGAGCAGACCCCGCCAAGGGAATGAGAGAGGCTCAGGTTGGCTGCCCGGTCCCCCAGCTGGCTGGCGAGCGGGCTGGCTCCGCACCCCTGCTTGCTTGTCTGTGCAATGGGCCGGCAGCAGCGCCCGGGTCTCAGCTGAAGAGTGGCGAGCCTCAGCATCAAGCAGAGACCCCAGAGGGGGGCCTGCAGGCGGTGGCTCTACAGAGCAGGGGCAGGCCTCTCCACAATGCTGCCCAGAGAGGCAGAGCTGCCCAGGCCGCCAGGCTCCTGGCCACCTGCCGCCCCTCTCCCCCTCCCCAGCGGCTGCGGAGCCAGAAAGGCCGGGACAGCGCTGGAGGCAGTGGATGTGGAGACCGGGTCCCCATCACTAGCTCGCCTCAGCGGCTGCGACCTCACACAAATCTGGGTCTCGGTTTGCCCATCTGTAAGCTGGGACGGCGCGCTGTGCTTCTGCTTCCCACCCTCGGGCTGAGCTGGCCCTGGGGGCCCGGGGGTGGGGGTGGGAGGCTGTAGGGAGGTTCCAGAGCTCCAGGCCAGAAGAAGCTGCCAGTGACTTTCCCTCTGGCCACCTGGCCCTCTGGATGCCAGACCCCGTCCCCTCTCTCCCCCTGACCCATAGCTCCAAATGCAGAGGGCAGCTTTGGGACCACATTGTGGGCTCACGGGCTCCCTGACAACCTGCACCCCTGCACCCCCAACCTTGCCTCCTGCTGCCCCTACCGCCCAGAACACCACCCCCTCCCAACACCCTGCCCTGGAACACCTGCTCATGTCAGAGGATTTAGCGTGGGCTTCCCTGCCCGCCTACCCCCTTCCCCTCTCCAGTCTTTGACCGATGCCCCTTCTCTGTGAGTTCCCAGCCTCACATCCCTCCCCCCACGTAGCCCTTGTCTTGGACCCTTATTCCTCTTTCCAGGCCCACCTTCCCGGGTCCCTTTACCATGGTCACCTCGGTATCCCCAGTGCTGAGCACCGGTCCCCACCCCTCCCACTAAGCTGAGCAACGATGTTTGTTGAATGAATATTGGACCAACCAATACAGTTTGGTTCCGTCTATGAGGCCATGCAAGTCAATCCCTGGCCCAGTCCAGTCTGGCGGGAGTTCTGTCCTCCCCTGGGAAGAGAGTGCAGGGTGGGGCACTGCAGCGCCAGCCTGGCTCCGTAACTCTCTGCTGTGTGATGCCAGTCAAGACATTTAACCTCTCTTGGCCCCATTTTCTTCATCCGTAAAGACGGCTCCCACCTGCAGGGACGTTGGGAGGTGGAAGCATGTGGAAGCCCTGGCCCCTGTACAGGGAAGCCAGCAGCATGGCTCCTTCTCTGTGCCACCTGTGCCAGCTTGCCTCTGCCCATCACCTCTGAGGTGTCCGTGGTACCTGGAGCAGCCCTGACGCGGGCTTGCAGCCCCACCGCCCGGCCCGAGGCGCACAGAGCGCCCGGGTTCAACTCCCTCCATCAACGTTACTGAGCACTGGCGACACCCAGTCACCACCCGCTGGCTTCACCGTATTCAATCCTCACAGAGCCCTAAAAGGAAGGTGCTGTTTCCACCCCTCCTTTACAGAAGAGCACCCCAAGGTGCAGAGGCCAGGGTAAGGTCCCACGGCAGCATCCCCACGCGCACGTCCTGCTCCGGGCAGCCGGCCTCCTGGCTCACCATCAGTCCCGCCATCAGCTGAGAACCAGGCCTGAGTCCGTGCGGCCTCCAGGCTCCGGGTACCCCGGGAGGGGTCCTGTTCACCCCGAGTTCTGGTTACTCAGCAGAAGCCCTGCGGCGGGGGCGTATGGCTCAGCCAGTGCTTGGGTTTCTCTTAAACCGAACCGAACCCGTCTCCCGCCCCGGCCCTCGCCCCGTCTGTGATGTCAGGGTGAGAAACTCATTTCTCAGAACCGCCGTCCCGCGAAGAGTCCCCGGTTCTGAGAACACAGCTCCCTCTCCTCTGAGTTTTTATTGGTTTATTTGCTTAATGTTCACTTTATTAAACTCATAAAGCTAATAAACAAAACTCTGAAAAAACACTTTTTTTTTTCTGGCGCATCTGAACGTGGATTCCAAGTCCGATGGATTCATTTTTCTTAAAGCACGGACGACACGCAGTGTGACTGCTTTTGCCGCCAGTAAAATTGGTTGCCTAACATCCGGGGGCGGGGGGCGGGGGGTGGCGGGGCTCGTTTCTCTTCCTGGGTCTCCATGCCCAGGCCTTGGAGTCCATGCAGCG